ATCTGAAGGTCCATGCTGGGGATGTTAAAAAGGCACCTACACAGGCTGTGATCATTGGGTGATCAGGAAAGGCCTCTCTGCATGAAGAGGGAGCAAGCTTCTTTTTTTAGAGAAGGGAAAGGAACAGCAAGTGCAAAGGCTCTGGGGTCTGGACTGAGATTGGCTGTGATAGGAACAGCAGGGAATCAAGGAGTTCAGTGTGTCTGCAGTGGAGTGAGCAAGGGAGGAGGAGGGAAGAGTTGAAGTCAGGGACACCAACAGGGAACAAAGCTTGAAGAGCTGCTGTTCCCAACCCTGTCATACCCATACCAATGCCCCCTTTCTCCTACAAATATTTTGTCATTCCTACTTTATTGTCTAAAATACTATTTATATATGTGTGTGTATATGTATATATACACACTTATATATGTATGTATAAGTTGTCGGGGCTGTTCTCAAAACCCTGGGCTCGGCAGTCCTTTCATCTCCACCTACCAAAGTGCTGGGATTACAGGCATGAGCTACCATGCCCAGCTATCCCATGAGACTTTTTAAAATCAAGGAGAGATCAAAGGGATTTGATTTGTTATAAAACAAGGTGAATTTTAATATGTAAATACTCAGCTGAGACTACAGTAGATGAAACACATGCACCCATATATATATCTAGACATACCTGTACCCATAAGACGTTTTAACAGTTTTGAAATATAATTCAGTTCCCCCATTTAAAGTATACAACTCAATGGTTTTTATTTTATTTTTATTTATTTATTTTTGAGTTGGAGTCTCACTCCGTCACCCAGGCTGGAGTGCAGTTGCACACTCATGGCCACCCCAGCATCAACCTGCTGGGCTCCAGAGATCCTTCCGTCTCAGCCTTCCTAGTCACCGGAACTACAAGTGTGCACTACCACGCCTGGCTAATTTTTTCCATTTATTGTGGAAACAAGGTCTCGCCAAGTTGCGCGGACTGGTCATGAACCCACAGGCTCAGGCAATCCACTCTCCTCAGCTTCTCAAAGTGCTGGGATTACAGGCTGAGCCACTGAGCCCGACCTCATTGGTTTGTATTATGTTCAGAGTTCTGCATCCGTTACCACAATGAATTTTAAAACATTTAGCTGAGCATAGTGGCATGCACCTGCAATTCCAGCTACTCGGGAGGCTGAGGTGGGAGGACTGCTTGAGCCCAGGAATTCAAGACTACAGTGAGCTATGATCAAACCACTGCATTCCAGCCTGGGCAACAGATTGAGACCCCCATCTCTAAAAACTAAAAAATAATAATAATAAATTTAGAACATTTGCATTACCCTCCAAAAGAAATCTTGATCCCCTTAGCTATCCCCCCTCCATCCCCTACCCAAGCTCATCCCCTGATCACTGCTCAACACAGCCTCAATTTCTTGATCTTTCTACCTCAGCTTCCTGAGTCGCTAGAACTACAGGAGCACACCACCACACCTGGCTAATTTTTTTTGGTAGAAATGAGGTCTTGCTTGGTGGCCCAGGTTGGTCTTGAACTCCTAGACTCAAGCAATCCTTCCCACCTTGGCCTCCCAAAGTTCTGGAATTACAGAGGTGGGCCATTGTGCCTGGCCCCAGTTCACCTACTGTCTGGCCCTAAACTATGACAAATCTACTTTCTGTGTCTAGAGATTTGCCTATTCTGGGCATTCCCATAAATTGAATCATGCAATATATGGTCAGCCATCACTACTATCTAATTCCAGAATACTTCTGTCATCCTCAAAAGAAACCTTGTAACTGTTAGCAGTCACCCTCAGTTCCCTTCCACCATCCCCTCGGTAAACACAAATCTACTTTTTATTCCTGTAGATTTGCATATTCTAGACATCCACGTGAGCAGAATCATATAAGATCTATCATGAATGGCTTTTTTCACTTAGCATGTTTTCTAGACTCATCCATGCTGTAGCATATTAATTTAAATGTGTTGCCAAATAATATTCCGTTACATGAATAAGCCACATTTTGTTTATCCCATGAGGCTTTATGTATTTCTTTATTTTTGAGTCAGAGTCTCACTCTGTCACCCAGGCTGGAGTACAGTGGCACAGTCATATCTTGCAGCCTCAACCTGCTGGGCTCAGGTGATCCTTCCACCTCAGCCTTCTAAGTAGCTGGAACTACAGGTGTGGGCCACCATGCCCCGCTAATTTTTTTTGATTTATTGTAGAGACAAGGTCTCACCAAGTTGCTGGGACTGGTCTCAAACCCCTAGGCTCAGGCAATCCTCTCATCTCCGCCTCCCAAAGTGCTGGGATTACAGGCATGAGCTACCACACCTGGCTATCCCAAGAGACTTCTTAAAATCAAGGAGAGATAAAAGGGATGTGACTTGTTATAAGACAAGATGAATTTTAACATGTAAATACTCAGCCGAGACCACAGTAGACGAAATAATGAATGAGTCAGCTGCTCACACCTAAAGATCGCTAAGTGACACAGCTGCAAATACAGAACTATCCAGGGTGTATTGGAGGCCTAAATGACACAAGTGGTGTTACTACTGATGCCAGGTTTTCTAAAATGATGAACAACTCTTGGTGAAGTTCAGGATAAAACAAAGTACAGTCTCCTCTTGACTTACTGGTCGTTGCACTCCTGGGAATTTCAATAGCTCGTATAACCATGCAAAAGAATACTTGAACTTACATATATCATGGGACTGGATTCTGGGTTCAGAGATTTATAATCAGGTAGTTCTTTTTGTTTGTTTTTTTTAATGGAGATGGGGTCTTGCTGTGTTGTCGAGGCTGTTCTCAAACTCCTGGCCTCAAGCAACCCTCCCACCTCAGCCTTCCAAAGTGCTGAGATTACAGGCATGAGGCCCCACGCCTGGCCTATAATCAGGCTTTTCATCAGCATGAATGCCCGGCAGGACATTCAAAGGTAGTCATATAGGACCTGGGACAGTTCTTCATTGGGAGGGACTGACTCTAAATTGTGAGGTGCAGACACCATGGCCCTGCCCAGTGAGCCAATGTCCGCACCTGTCCCTAGTCCTAGCAACAACTGAAGTCACCCCGTAGAAATTTCCCAACATTTGCAGGGTCTGACTTGGAGATGGAGGGGAGAGCAGAGGTGCAAGCTTTAGGAGGTAGAATCCACAGGGAAGGATTTTCAAGAAGGAGGAATTTACGTGTAGAAATGCTCTTGGAGATGTGAAAGATAATTGACTTTGAAATGAGATTGACCAGATATGCAGATGCTCAAACAGATGGGTAGTTGAGGAGAGGGTGCCACTGTATTCAAGTGGCCAGTTTCCTCATCCTGGAGAGGTCGCCTCTTCTAACTCCTTGCCTTCTCAGATATAAGGCTTCGTGTTATCTTCACTTTACAGATAAGACAACTGAATTAGTTTGCTATGGCTGCCATTAAAAAAATATACCTCAGACTGGGTGGTTTAAACAACAGAAACTTATTTTCTCTCAATTCTGGCGCTGGCCCCATTTGACCCTCTTTAAAGACCCTGTCTTCAAGGCCAGGTGTAGTGGCTCATGCCTGTAATCCCAGCATGTTGGGAGGCCAAAGCAGAAGGATTGTTTGAGCCCAGGATTTTGAGACCAGCCTGGGAAACATAGCAAGACCTCGTCTCTACAAAAAAACTTTTAAAATGAGCCAGGTGTGGTGGTGCACACCTGCAGTCCCAGCTACTTGGGAGGTTGAGGCAAAAGGATCACCTGAGCCCAGGAGGTCAAGGCTGCCATGAGCAATGATGTGCCACTGCACTCCAGCCTGGGTGACAAAGACAGACCCTGACTCAAAAAAAAAGAAAAAAACAAAAAAGACCCTATCTTCAAATATAGTCATATTCTGAGGCACTGGGGGTTAGGATTTCAATAACAAAAAGGTTGGACAAGGAAACCATAAAGTAGAGTGAGGAGCACAATGGATCAGGAACCCAACAGCATTTCAGTTCCTTCACTATCCAGAGGACCTTGAATCAAGTCCCTTCACCTCTTGGGCCTCAAGCGGCTCACCTAGTAAGTGGACTAAGCCAGGCGCGGTGGCTCACACCTGTAATTACAGAACTTTTGGAGAACGAGGCAGGAGGACTGCTTGAGCCAGGAGTTTGAGACCAGCCTGGGCAACATAGTAAGACCCTTGTCTCTATAAAAAATTTCTTTTTAATTAACTGGGTGTGATAATGCAAGCCTATAGTCTCAGCTACTCTGGAGGCTGAGGTGGAACGATCACCCCTGAGCCCAGGAGGTCAAGGCTGCAGTAAGCCATGATGGCAGCCACTGCCCTCCATCCAGCCTGGGTGACACAGTGAGACTTCAACTCAGGAAAAAAAAAAAAAGAGAGAAACTAACGAAGCCTTTCCGGGGCTGGAAGTCAGAGTACTTAACACTAGAAGATGTGGGTGGGCACCAGTGCAAGCTTGGAGTGGGATCCTGGAGGCCCCCACTGGGTCAGCCATTAAGCCTTCAGGTGCTGGATGCAGGGGAGGTACTGGGAGTCCCAGGAAGGCGAGACAGGGCTACTGAGGGGACCAGCAATGCCAGCTATTCATTTACCAGCCACTGTGGAACTTCTTCAATTTTTTTTTTTTTTTTTGAGTCAATCTCATTCTTCGACCAGTCTGGAATGCAGTGGCACGCTCACAGTCACCGCAGCCTCGACCTGCTGGGCTCCGGCGATCCTTCCGCCTCAGCCTTCCGAGTAGCTGGAACCACAGGCGCGCACCACCACGCCTGGCTAGTTTTTTTGTTTTGTTTTTTGTTGCAGCGACGAGGTCTCACCAAGTTGCCCGGGCTGGCCTCGAACCCCTAGGCTCAGGCAAACCTCTCGCCTGCGCCTCCCAAAGCGCTGGGCTTACGGGCGTGAGCCCCCGCGCCGGCTCTCCTTCGATCTTTTGAGCAACCGGCAGGACCATATTGCTGCCCGCCGCGGGGCACGCGGGGCCGATGTTGGACGCCGGAGAGGAGGGGCGGGGAACGACCTGAAACCGCACGCTAAAGCCCCCCCTCTTCCTCCCCACGCAGGCCAAGCTGATCGTCCCCAACAGCACGGCGGGCCTGATCATCGGCAAGGGGGGCGCGACCGTGAAGGCCGTGATGGAGCAGTCGGGAGCGTGGGTGCAGCTGTCCCAGAAGCCCGAGGGCATCAACCTGCAGGAGCGCGTGGTGACCGTCAGCGGCGAGCCCGAGCAGGTGCACAAGGCCGTGAGCGCCATCGTGCAGAAGGTACAGGAAGACCCCCAGAGCAGCAGCTGC